TACCACCCGAAGCTCGAACTCACGAGCTTTTGAATCGGAAATCTAACCCTCTAACCATTGAGCCCCAAGCTCGTTTTCTTACCGATTTGGATCGGGAAACATTGACACCCATTGGCTAAAGCTCACCGATCGCTAACGGAACTCATTCGTCCCGGGCTCTCTAGTGGCTCTTTGTGCAATTACTCTGAATGCCGGCTCCAGAGCTATTGATTTAAGAAACAGCGGATAAAACATGACGTCACGCCTTGGTAAAAAACCATCAACTTATCCAACCCATATATAAAGCTAACTGCATATTTGTAAATAAGACAGAATTTGCGCGTATCTTATGCCCGATGGTACTCATGATCAGGAAGCTCCCAAGATATGTGAGTCATTTTCGGAATCCCCTAGTGCAGATGCATAACAACACTTTCGAGGGTTCAACTACCAAGCATCAACTCGACATGATAACTAGTAGCTTAACAGAAATTTAAAAAAACTGAAGAGATCCCAACTTATTTAAAGCAAATCAACTAACTTGAGGTTTCAAGTCCCGAAATGTATGACAAAAACCACGCTCATTGCGGCTTTTTGGCAGAATGCTAAACAGCTCCGGAACTGCGGTCTGCCCTCCAATCGCATCCAGTGGCTCGCCAGCTGACTGTGGTTCAGGCTTCGGTTCGTCCACAATCCAACGAGAAGGATCCGAGTCTGCACAGTTGCGAAGGCTTTCGGCCAAGCGTTCACGCCACCAGGGCCGGGGGTAAACCAGGGTCACGGTGATAGTCCGAGCACCCTGATCTTCCTTCGTCTTACCTAAATGCGTAATTTTATCACCACTCTGTGTGCTGAGACGGCCAGGCAGAGGCTGCGGAGAGGAGAAGTCAACGACGGCCAAACGAAATTGGTGAGGCAGATACAAGGAGAGGAGCGGTTGAGAGCTTGTGATGTCACAGTTGCGCGACTGTAAGTCGTGTTTCCGAAGTTCAGCCTCCGGGTCGTCGCAAAATAAGATTTTCAGAGAAGAAGCGGGCAACGTGACCACTACCTGAAAAAAAAGGAACGAGCAAAATTTCATCACAGTTGATAAAACTCGATTACTTATGTAAAACAAGTAGACACTTGGGCGGAATTACATACCGAGTTGGCAGGAGTTACTTGGCCGGTTGAACTTTTGACCAGGATCCCAGCATCTGTGCTGGAGGTGGGTCCTCCAGAACACAGTAAGGTCACCGCCAGTCCAACGGGAACCTCCCTGGCATTGGTGGATTTGACACCAAGACTGTCAGTGATGGCGGATCGCAGGCGGGTGCTAATATTGGTGGGACGGCGAGAGACGTCTGTCAAAATCAGGGAGGGGTCAGAGTAGATAACTTGCAGCAAAGCACAGGCATCGTGCGTTTCAAAGTCTACAACTTCCATATCCGCAGGTCGAATTTCGCTATGAGGGCTCTCGATATCAGCACGCTGACGTAACGAGAGCACGGTGTAGGCATCGTTCGGCGAGAGTTGGGTCAAATCTGTAAAACGCACGGGAATGCGCAAGCCCTGCGAGATCTGAGTCATCAGTAGCGCCTCAATAACGCGCATCTCGATATTGGCGAGGAAGAACTCCGTAAGCTGCTGCTCCACCTAAAGAGGAAGAATTCTGATCTGATTGAGCTGAGTGGAAACGATTCGGCAACCGCAAACCTTTGGATGTCCTTACAATAGCATACCTAGACGAAGGCGGAAAACGTTTTACAAAATTTCTTCCGTTTGTTAATTTATTGAAAAATGGACTTGCCTCGTCGTCTTTGAGGTCTGGTAACTGCAGTCGCAGAAGTTTATTCAGAGAATCCCAAGCGTCTAAAAGGAGAGAAATAAAATGTCTTGCAAAGGAAGTAGAGGGGCGAATCGCAACAAAACTTGATTAAGAATATTAGTAGATGAGGCGTAAAACAAATCGAAACAATCAAAGAAAGATAGGTGGAATGTTAGGTACTCCCTTGGTGCCCAAGAAAGTAAAAATGGGCTCAAATTAGCTCAATATCGTTCGGGCACAAATCGGTGTATTATCCTAGGAACACTACATTTTGGAGCTGAGAACTAACTGCAATTCCCAGTCGGAGACAAAACGAATGAGAAGAGGACACCAAGGACGCCAGCTCAAATGCTCAACTTAATACTTACGGTCAGTGGATCATCTTAGCGGTTTAAAAAAGAACAAATAAAGTAACGGCATGAGGCATTCCAAAAGACAAATATAAAATAAAAATCAACCGTAGGACGACCGGACCGAGTTTCTTTAACACTGACTCACGACAATTCATTGCACATGGCAGAGCTGTGGAGGCATGCCCGATCTAGTCGGCCACAAGAATGCCCGGAAGTGCCCCTTACCACGCGTAACGATCTACAATAGCCGCCGAAGACCATGCAACGCTAATTATGAAATTTGCCTGGACA